TAGATAGATAGATAGATAGATAGATAGATAGATAGATAGATAGATAGATAGATAGATAGATAGATAGATAGATAGATAGATAGATAGATGGAAACTTTAATTCGAGGTCTGTGTTAACAGTAATCATTCCATTCTCATTTATATCCTGATTATTTCTCAGGTGTCAGATAATGGAAAGGCCATTAGAGAATTTTAATTTGAATAATTTCAGGATATCCAGCTAAGCCGGATCTTAGTCGTTCCATTCATGAAGAGAGGGGCTTAAAGTCTAAAAACAGAGAGACATGTCAAATCAGGACAAAATGGGTCAGACAAGTCCCTGTTTCACTTTTATTTTTACTCAAGCAACTGACATAATATAATCCACCGCAAATGTTTCTTTTTTAAGTAACTCAGATCCATAATAATTAGAATTATGGAAACATAATGATTATTTCTCCAGCTGATCAAAAAAACCACTTAACTGATTAAACCTCTGTGGGATTAAACTGAAAATGTGTTACAAGGTGCTAACAGCCTTGTCTGGGGCTGAAATCACATCTGCTCTGACAAAATCATCCTTGCTGTTAATTTTTTTTATTTTAAAGTTTATCTTGAGATATCAAACATTCCTCTGAATTTGTCAAACATTAGGTACCAGTAAAACTGTTTATTTACTTTTTAACTTTGCAATGCAGATAAAGATAAGAAATTATGACCTATAATGCTGATGTAAAGAGTGCAACAGCATCCAGTAGGCCAGGGCAGTAGGGGGGTATGTAAAACATCACTTTTTTCACATGCAGTACTGAATTGATTTTTTTTGGATGCATTTCAATGATTAATGATATCACAAAGTAAAGTAGAATATAACTTCAGTTCAGTTACATTTATGTGATAAATGAGATGTGATGTATCATCTGCTCTTTACACAATCAGTTGCATCTTCACTTTGACATTTCAATCAAAAACTGTAATGGTTCTCCCCTTTTAGACTTCTATTTGAGTTTCTTTTTGAGTTTTCATTTATTCATATCATTATGTTTTGTTGATCTTTGGTTTATTTATTTTGTGCTATATTTAAGCAGTGGTGAATTTGTTTTAGTTACTCTCTGTTGCCCCCTTTTGCAAGTCTCCTTTCCTCTATCTCCCTTCTTGTTACTTCTATCGACACCTGCGCCATATTAGCTCATTAGTCCATTCTTTGTTCTGTCCCCCATATATACACCTCCTTTGTGGTCTATCATTGCTGGTTTTTTGTTGTTACTTGGCTCCTCATGTGTGTTTTCTCCTGATGTCTCCTGGTTTTTGGTTTCCTGTATTTTGGTTCTTGAATTGTGTTTCTTTTGTCTTTTTTATTATATCAGCAAAGCTCAACTCTGCCTCCTAATGTTTGAATTTGGGTCCTCAACCAACACCCACCTAACCTGAAAAAAACTGCATTCTTCTTTATAAAATAAATAAAAAAGATCACTTGTTTAAATTCACACTAACTCATTATCTAAAGATGACCATGTGGATTCATTCCTTTGATTTAATTTTGTCTTGATATTATTGGTTCATATGCTCAGTTGAAACCAATTACACCTCAAAATGCTGCTTTTTATTGATTTCTCTGGTCACCATCTTGTTTTGGCTGCTTTCTGTCCTCCATTTGTCTCAGATTATGAATCCCTTTATGAGCTTAATTTTGATTCATTTCTACTGGAAAGAACCATTTGGGATTATTTTGCTCAAGAAATTCTGAATCCTGATTTCAGAATTTTTCCCACAAAAACAAAGCTTAGGTTTCAAGGTTTGTTTGGGGAATGCTTTCATCTTTTAATGAAGAAAATGCATTTTGTCTGCTGAGTGGCAAAAATAAAATAAAGGTGCACAAAAAGTGATAGACCTGAAAAATAGGGAAAGGGAATCTATTATTATTGTATATACCGTACCTGGTCTGACTAAAATTAGACAGGGAAACTGTCTAATTTTAGTTCTTCCACTGCAGCTTTAAGGCAAAAAAAGACGATCTTGGAGTTACTTAGTGCAGAGACTGATTTATCTCCCAGCCAAAGCAAAACCTTTTAATATGAGAGAAATAATATCTTCAGATGGATGCACCTTAGCAGAACTAAGGTCAGACAGTGAGGTCTTTAGTTTTTCTTCAAAGATGAACAAGAACCACACTCCAAAAACAATCCAGAAATAAGTAAAAAAATTCTTAAATTAAATATTTTTACCCTTAATTTGAGCAGGTAAATAAGA